CTTATGGTAACTAGGCTGGCGCCATCTAGTGCCTCTGCTCAATTTCATTTCTCCCCAGCGACTAGGTCAGGAATCGGAATACACAAGACAGTTTGCAAAATCCCCAGAAGTGCGAGTTCGGGCACCAGCCAATCAGCAAAGAGCCATACATTCTGGGTTGGCAATGATTCCTGAGATTGAGGATTTTAAACTTGAATAAAGAGAATTGTTGATTAATTTTATCAAGAGCAAAGACATTATTGCCCTTCCTTCAAAGGGGTTTGGGAAAAGCTTAATATACCAGTTTGCCCCGTTAGCGGCGCATTACATAAGTCACGACCAAATAGCAGTGATTAATAAATTTAAAAAGTACCCGCCTACCGTTGAGCGAACAAAATCTAATGCTGCGCGGTCAGACGGTTTCTACAAAGTGAAACCAGCTCATGAATCAGGCTACCTTTATGGAACCATACACTAATCTTTGTACATTACATTAGAATAGTACAGTATAATTCATGAAAACTCTAATTAATAAAATAAAACCTACAATTCATCTGTCTAATAATCAAATTCGTGAGGAGTTTGTTTTGATTGGTCCATGTCCCTGAGGTGTACACTGTCAGTCTCATCAGTCTGCGTTGTTTTGTAACAGTTTTAAGTTTTATAAAGGTCGGAACAATATAATGTTTAATATGTGTGGAAGTAACAGGCTTTTTATGTGCAGTTAATTGGTTGTTTGTGCTCAGATGAGGCTTTGGTTATGCAGAGCTGAGGGGTAAAGGTTAGAGACTATAATTAGGGATTATCTCACCATAGCGAATGTAAAGTATGATATAATTCAGACTTTGTTAATTCATTTTTTCCTGTAGAAGAGGGTTGTCACATCTTTTGGCACTGACTTTACACGAGGCTTGAGCTGAGCGTACTGGGATGTTTTAAAGATAAGTTTTGAGGACAAGAAACATAAAGACTGGAATTTATTATCCATTAATAATGTAATCCTGTATAATGCATTACGCTTTAAAGTGACAAAATGGAGGAAATAAGACACAGAAGGTTAAGTGTTTGGAAACCAGCCTGTGGAGGGGTGCCAATTTAAAACTTTCTGCAACATCATAGACTTTATACAGAAGTGGACTGAGTGAGTTTGATGTCGCATAAAGCTTTCAGCTCCAGTCAAATGAAGCTCATCGAGGTTGGTAGTTATGGGGCGAATTCGGAGCCGAGCAAAAACAGGTACCTGGAGTTGCGTTTTATTTCATTCACACATGTTTAACACACAAGTCCTGCATATTTACACTGAGTTCTTCTCTCAAATGGAAAAAAAAACACATTCCATCTTGTGATGTCATGTGGTAATACAGAAGTGCTCCATTGTGTTTTTAAACTCCATACGCCTTCACTAGAATCATTTGGATAATTTCAGCCCTGGAATTGCCTATTTCTACTGAACTAAAGGTAAATGGTAGTCTGTTAACTTTAAAACCAACTCTACTGGCTTTTAACAGCGCATGAGTTGTGTTGCCCTCTGTGTCTTTTATTTATTGTATTTATTTTACTTATTTGCTGCAATTTTACCATTTTAATGGTTTTGCTTTTATTTGATTTTCCTCTTGGCTTCATCAAAGTAGGACCTGCAGTGTGCACTGGGACAGTTTGTAGCTGAGTGTGAAGTAGTTTGGATGAGGGTCAGCTCTTCCAACTCCGAGGCCATGGTTCTCGACCGGAAAAAGGCGGCTTGCCCTCTCCGGGTGGAGACTCATTGCCTCAAGTGGAGGAGTTCAAGTATCTCGGGGTCTTTTTCACGACTGAGGGGAGGATGGAGCATGAGATTGACAGGTGGATCAGTGCAGCGTTGGCAGTGATGCAATTGCTATATCAGACTGTTGTGGTGAAGAAGGAGCTGAGCCGAAAGACAAAGCTCTCGATTTACCATCAATCTACGTTCCTACCCTCACCTATGGTTATGAGGTAATGATCGAAAGGACAAGATTACGGATACAAGCGCTCGAAATGAGTTTCCTCCACAGGGTGGCTGGGCGCTCCTTTAGAGATAGTGTGAGGAACTCAGTCACACAGGAGGAGCTTGGAGTAGAGCCGCTGCTTCTCCACGTCGAGAGGAGCCAGCTGAGGCTCAGGCATCTGTTCCGGATGTCTCCTGGGCGCCTCCCTCGGGAGGTGTTCCAGGTATGTCCCACTGGAAGGAGGCCCAGAGGAAGACCCAGGACATGCTGGAGGGACTATGTCTCTCAGCTGGCCTGGGAACGCCTCGGGATCCCCCCGGAGGAGCTGCAGGAAGTGTCCGGGGTGAAGGAAGTCTTGGAGTCCCTGCTTAGACTGCTGCCCCTGTGACCTGGCCCCAAATAAACAGAAGAAAAGGGATGGATGGATGATTTTAGCAATTTACCTTTTTGTTGTCTTAATTTTATTTATCTCTGTGCAGCACTTTGGAAATTGCTTTGTTTGTGAAAGTTGCTATATGAATAAAGTGGTTTTGGATTTACTTCTTCATGACATCACAAGGTGAAACAGAGCATTTTGAGCTTTGGTGATTTAAACAGACTAATAATAATGTTTGAATTAAACAAAACACAACTCCAGGTATGTTTTTGAGGAGGTATCTAACATGGTCTAAAGCTCACAAGAGTCAATTTTGCATAATATAAGACCTTTAAAATTCAACATAGAAATTGTATATTTTTTTAGATTTTAATTGTTTATTTATTTTTTTATATACTGTCTCTATAATTTTTAACAGTTCATAATAATAAGCTCTGCAGAATGAATAGAACAGAATGAATCCCTCTGTGCATCCCTTGTTTAAACCCCTGAACACTCTGTGCTGGTAGTAGACACTTTTTGGAATTGTGTCTCTGCTCACTCAGCCCTTCGTCGTGAGCTGGGGTGACTTCCTGACTAGTTTTGGTTTTGCTTTCGGAGGAGCTTTGTGTCCCCTTATCTTTGAAGCTTTGCCGTCTTCTGCCTCGGTCTGAACTTGTGCTCCGTGCCACCGCTGTCGAGACAACGCAAAGCACACGCCAGCTGCCAACCGGTGTGCAAACGAGAGCGTGGAAGTTTTGGTGTAGTGCCGGGGTGGGCTTGTTTTAGCTGGAGTCGCGCTCGGATGTTGTTGATAATGCATTTTATTTGGGCCATTAACGCAGAATCTATTTAGCTAATGTATGCTCAGAGGGAAATGATGTGACGCATTATAGCACTTGTGTGGATATGGAACTCATTGGTTTTGTGCATTCACTGTGTCCTCCTGCGGATGGATTGTTTTCAAACGACCAGCCTCCATAAGCACAAGATCTATACGCAGTCTTTTTATTTATTTAATTTATTTGAGCGTCTTATCAATAAAACAAACAGTTGTTAGCATAAAATGTGGGGAAAAAAAGGCTGCCTGTAGGCCTGTCGTAACAAATTCTGAAGCGTGATCTATGGCTACAGAGAAATATTGAGATAAATTAGAATATTGAAATTACTTTATGCCACTGACTCAAAGCAGGATAATCATTAAAAGGGCTGAGTTGCAACAAATCAATAGCAAAATGAACCATTAATTAGCAACAGAAGTTATTTATTCTACCGTCTACAACTCATATCTCACCATAGTTCAGAAAAATGCCAAAAGTCTTCCCACTACTGCAAAGAAAAAGTTCACATAATAAATGCTGGGCAAAGCTTTTCCATCTTAAATGTATTGATATTGATATAAGTCAATATAGTAATTATCACGACAAGCCTAGGCTGCTCTTAAACATGGTTGTTAGAAGTTTTAGTTTAATCCACGTACTATATAGTCTCTATAACTGTCTTCACAAACTGTTATCATGGTACTGCCAACTTCAAGAGTGTTATAATTAGTGAAACCAATTACAACGTGGTGAAAAGTAGAGCTGCACTGATCCGTCACATATTAGATATCGGCATCAATCAGGGTTGTGGAAAAATATCGAAATATTGGTATATCATATTGTTGAATGTGATGATACAGTATCAATATTGTGGGCTGCTGTATCGATATATCGCCAAGAGTAGTTTTTGGTATTTTACTCAATTTCAATTTGTTATAGCATGACAATTTTGTTTCTTCTTTAGTGGAAGGAAACTCGTTTATGCGACACATTTGACATATTCACTATTTTGATGATTAAAATGTGTCTGCTTCATATGAACTTTGCACAAGAAGTGGTTTAACAAAGACTTTTAGTATCACAGCCATGATTTAGCCTTTATTTTTAATTGAACCATATAAAATCGATGTGAAATATATTGTATTGAATCGAAAGTGCATTGTATCGAGACACGTATTGTATCATGGCCTATGTATCGTATTGGCAACTTCTTAATTATATCCAGCACTAGCATCAATGCTGACAACAATTTGCTAGATCGGATATCAGCCTCCAAATATCGGTTCCGATATTATGACTGGACACATAAATTGATGCATCAAGAGTATTTACTGGTTGTAGTTGGCCCGAAAATCTCTTAATGTTTGAATTTTTATTTACATAAACTGCTCTGTAGTTACCTGAGGGATAAATAACAGCTAAGGAATTATTGCTGTCTTATTTAAATTTTATTTAAAGGAACTGCAATTTATCAATAGTTTAAAAAAAAGTCAATTTTGCATAGTCTCCTTCACAAAAAAATTACCTTTTTGTTGTTCTTGTTGACAAAGCCTTAGCCTATTTCCCTTGTCCATTATGTGTATGTGTGCCGAACTTCCTAATGCGTCGCTCAATCTTCATCTCCGCACACAGTTTACCAGCTCGATGTGTCTCCAGGTGGGTCCGTGCCTTCACTCCTGAACCTCTAATACATTGTGTTTGGTCTGGAGCCTGCAGCGTGTTCCTCTGAAAGAACACGGTATTTAATAATGCTGCCATTATCACCAAATCAATAGCATCGAGTGGAGTCCGCAGAGTTCTGACTTCTGGTTGGCTGGTGAAAGGGGGATGTTTTTGGGTCTGAAGCTTATTGGGTGTGATTCTTGTTGTGTTTCCATTCAGGTTGGCCTCCATGCGTGCGGAGTGGCGACAGATATGGTGATGGAGCACTGCATCCAGGCCCGGGCTGCCTTCGTCATCAGCCCCTGTTGCTACGGTTTCATCCAAAACGCAAACAAGTTCAGCTTCCCCAGGAGGTCTGTATCCACACGATGGTAGTTAAAAATATAATTTAGTATTTGGCCAATTAAGTGTTACTATATATCAGGGGTCTCCAACCTTTTTTCTCTAGTGAGCTACCTTTACAAAATGAAAATGCCAGAGACCTACCAATTTCTAGCCTGATTCATCAACTGGTTTCACTTCGTGGAAACTGTCTGACCTCGCAGAATTAGGATATGTTCACTCGACGGTAGGAAGGTACTTTTTAATTTAAATTAAATTTTCTATTTTTGTTGTGACGTATGTAATGCGCTGATAATGGTGCTAAATTGTATATTAAGCTTTTCCCAAATCCCGTAGGAAGAAGGGCAATAATGTCTTTCCCCTTGATAAAATTCACCAATTCACTTGGGGAGCTACTTGGAAGGAAGTGGAGAGCTTCTGGTAGCTCTCGAGCTTCAGGTTGGAGACCCCTGGACTAGATACTTAAAAATACATTCACAGCACAGAAATGACATTTTCCTGAATAGCATAAGAATGATCTGGAGCTGTACAAGTATAAGAGCACATAGACTTGTATAGGCGTATATTTAAGACTAGGGCCAGCAGTTCACAGAAGAACCGCCAAAGTAACGAGAGGCCATTTCTAAAGGTGTAACCTCAACATAAAACCAAATCTGACTGGATACTTAAGTTTTCAGTTTAGTTCATTACTCCTTCATATTTATGTTATGTTTAAGAGGATCTAAATAAAATACAATATTGTGATGTGTGGGATGTAATAAAATGACACAACACTGACACAACAGCTAAAAAAACATGCATGCAGGTGATGTACCCTATACAGAAATGTTACGCAGTGCTGCTTTAAGAAAGAGAAAGACAATAAAAAGATAATAACAATATTTGGGGGGAGGGGGAATTTTTATGTATTTATTTTTTGCATTTGAAGAGAGGCGTTGTGTCCTCTGTGAGTCGGTGTGATCCTCGTCTGAATGGTCGGTGGGAGAAACGGAGTCTCAGGTTTCATCTGGAAATTTTTTGAAATGGAAACGCTTCAACTTCCATTCGGCATTTTGAATCCACAGGAGCTGGATTAGCCCGGATTAACTCAGCTCAGGGCAGGAGAATTTACGCCTTCAGACTGAAATGAGCTCTGGATGACAGTGAAACATCTCGAATCCAAAAGTGTCTAGATGATGACCTTTGACCCCTCTATATCAAATGAGTGACTCCTTGTAAAGGACACATGGGGCGTGTCTAATAGGCCTTCTTCTTGGGCTTGTCCCACTGTGGAAAGAGCCATGCTAGAACAGTTCTGGGCCGGTTCCTGAAGGCGCTGAGGCGAAAGTTCAAATGTTTCATGGCGTTCCTCTGGAACTCTGAGATCACCAAGCTCTCCACTGAACCCAGGGTCTGTGAGGCCTCAGGAGCTGCAGGGGGCTCTGGAGCTGAGGCTGGCTCTTCTGTCTCCAGCTTCTCACACAGCTCTTCTACTGGTACGTCCTCTGCAGTGCACCTTATTTGAGTTTGGCTCCTCTGCAGTTTGGAGGTGATTCTGGACCTCCATTAATATCTGTGTGTGGTCTGGGGTTTGGTCCTCTTGTGTTTGGAGTTCACTTAGACTGAGGTCTCCTTCTGAGTTGCTATCCAGCTGCTCTGGAGTCTGGTCATTTTCAGGAGATTCGTTGTCAGGTGAACTGTCATCAAACATTCTGAGGAGCTCTTCCTCCTCAGGACTTTGCTGTTTCAGTCCAGTTTCTCCTGATGTTTGACTCTCTACATCGTCTGGAGTCTCTAGTGTCTTTGCCTCCTCCTGGTTCTGGTCCCCCTCTGGACTCTTGGAGTTGTCCAAAGATTGTGTTTCCTTTGGTACCTCTAGGATTTTAACCTTCATTGGACTCTCTACATCCTGTGGAATCTCTAGTGTCTGTGACTGCTCTTGGTCTTGGGTCTGAGTTTGAGTTTCCAGGTCCTCTGGGTTTTCCACTGGACTTTTGCGGAACTCAAGCAAAGCCTGGGTGTCCCTCGGAGCAGTTATTTGAAACAGGCTCAGGGTTTACAAAAACCTTTATCGGAGTGGAACAGACATCTGGAATGTATTTCTCAATCATTTTGAGTTCTTCCAGCCCAGTTTGATCTGAATTGTCTTTGCACTGCTCCTCTTCACCTGGTTCATGAGCACTGTGTCTGTGACTCTCTTTTGATGTCTCCACTGAAACGTCATCACTGCCTGAGCTGTTCAGAGGCTGCATCTCCTGGTGGGGCTCAGCTGTGGTCTGTGGAATGTGGCTCTCCTCTTGGTTCTCCTGGTCTGGAGTTTCCTGTGGAACCTCAGGACTCATGGTCATATTTGAAAAAGTCTGTTGTCTGACATACAAAGGAGCTCTTCCTCCTCAGGACTTTGTTGTTTCAGTCCAGTTTCTCCTGACGTTGGACTCTTTACATTCTCTGGAGTCTCTAGTGTCTCTGACTAAGTGTGAGTTTCCAGGTCCTCTGGGAACTCACCCAGAGTTTGGTGTCCCTCAAAGCAGTTGCTTGAAACTCACACACAGCGTTCTCCTGATAAATGTGTGAACACATTTTAAATCAAAACAAAGATATTTAAAAATACAACTGGCAATAATTTAATTTGTAAATTTATTAAATATACTTTAGGCCTATATATGAATGAAATACTTATTAAAATAAAACACCAAAACAATTTTGTCAACAGAATGTTCTGTTGGATGAGTGACCATCCCACGTGTCCGAGTCCTTGGAGACGGGATATTTAGTTTTCAATAGAGGGATTAGAGGTTCTTAGCCTGAAACCAGACAAACACGGGGGTAAGCAATTTGGGGGGACAAATAAATAAAACTGAGTCATAAATAGATTAGAAAGTAGAGTTGTGAAGAGTACTGAAAATCAGACACTAAAACTAGTATTGAAATTAGATACTAGATCAAGGGTGTCTAACCTTTTTTCTCCAGTGAGCTCTCAATTTCAGCAGTTACAAAGAGTAAATATAAGAGCCGTGGTGAGTCTTAGATGGGGAACAGTTAGATGCTTACAAAACAAACCATTATCCATGTATCAGTGCATTAAGTTAGGCATCAAAATGATACATTTACAATGGCAATTAATCAAATTTTATTTATTATGCACAATACATATAATTCAGAAATCCCTTGGCGACCTACTTGGAAGGGGGTGGAGAGCTATTGGTAGCTCCCGAGCTGCAGGTTGGAGACGCCTGAGATATATTAATGGATTTTAATACAAGTTAGAGTTTTAGGATTATGTACAGTACTTTTAACCATTTGTGATTGTTAATTAAAGGGCCCATATTGCGCTGTATTATCTATGTTATAATGTTGTTTACGCATTATAAACATGCCTGGAGTTGTTTTGTTTCATTCATTTAACACACAAACCCTGCATATTTAGGCTGAGTTCCTCTCTCAGATTGAAAACACCTTGTGATGTTATATGGTAATACAGGAAGTGCTCCACTTCATCACAAGCTTTCAAGATGAAGACAGACTAATAATAAAGGATCACTCAGACATGCATGAACAAAACAACAATAATAATAAATAATAATATGACCATATGGTCACAAGCTTTAGGTAATAACCAAATGGGAGGAGCTTGGGGTAGAGCCGCTGCTCCTCCACTGAGCCCGATGAGATGGCTCAGGCATCTGTTCCTGATGCCTCCTCCAGGCATGTCCCACCGGGAGGAGTCCCCAGGAAGAACCAGGACACTCTAGAGGAACCATGCCTCTTGGCTGGCCTGGGAATGCCTTGAGGTCCCCCTGGAGGAGCAGGAAAAAGTGTCCAGGGTGAAAGAAGTCTGGAAGTCCCAGCTTAGAGTGTTGCCATCACGACCTGGCCCCAGATAAGCGGAAGAAAATGAATGGAAATAATAATATTAAATGTAGATTATCTCATGTGAAATTGCCACTATTTATTTAGAAGCAGCAGCCCCATTTACTGATTGCCATTGAATGCAGCGTGCACACATACAGTCAGTGGCAGCAACAGGTAGCTTGAGTTCATTCGTTGTAGCTCAGTATTTTCCTTACCGGCTGTCACTTCAGCTTTTCTGCATCAACTCGATCTTGTGCAGCGCATTCATTTCATGTCTTTATTCGCGGGTTGATGAGCAGTTCTCCCGTGGCGCGGCGTTTTGTGGGCTCCCCATGCATAAACAGGAAGTGAAAGTGTGCATGATCGTAACCCGTCTGTGTGCCGCACTAATTGCAGATTGGTTCCGCCTGATCTTAAACGGCAATGGCGGAGACACAGCAGCTCTCCGCGCCACACACCACTTGAGACACACACATTGGAGTTTATTTCACAAATTTTAACAAACTCTATTCCAGTACCACAGAAAAGACTCAATACACAATACCAACACTGATCTGTATCTACTCCCCAACTAGACTCTGGCTATGTAGTTTTCTGTCTGCAAACTCAAAGACTTGGCCTTTTCAGTTGATTTTCTTTCTCTATTTAAACAGACAATCTAACCTAGTGTTGTCACCACTTCAGAATCGATTCTGGTACTGAGGAAAAGGCCTGCTACCATAGACTCTCTATATAAATGGACATAGCTAACCATCTAGCTGCTGCATTCCTGTAATAGGAAGTGTGCATGGGGGTGCTTCCGGCTCCATCGACTCTCGCTTCCAATTGACTTAACATTGTCACTCCTCTCTCCGTAACTGCTACTGTCAGGTTCTTCATTTTGGTTTTAAAATGTTCGTATTGACCTGCTCTACATGATCCTGGTGTTTTTATTTCTCTATTTTGTCTGTAAATTTCTATGTCTAATGTGGAACTCTGCTCCAGTTTTGATCCTGTAACTGCCAGCCTCGTGAGCTTCATTTGACTGGAGCCGAGCATTTCCTTAGTCCAGTTCTTTTACAGTCTATGTTTAGTTACCATAGCAATGTGGGCAAAGATAGGACGTAGGTGAAAAATGACATTTTTCGAGCACTCGAGTTTCAGTGCCGGATCATACTTTTTAAATATGAATTGTAATTAG